GTTCTGTGAGTTGACCCTCGTCTGGGAACCGGGACTCACAAATGGCTGCTTTGTCGATGATATACCTAGCCAGCTCCTTTGCCACAAGGGCAGTTCTTCTTTCAGGACACTCATTTGTGCCAGGATCCAGGAGGGTCCTGACATTCCATGGAACGACCATAGGTGGTTGTATAGATTGTTTTTGCTTGGATCTGTGATTTTGATTGTGTTTTCGACCGCATAGGAATGACCTTACTTGGTGCGGTTGCTCAATCAGGTTGGTCTTTTTTATGGCAGGTTATGTTTAGGGCACCTTTTTTAGCCCCCTCCCCATGTGGGGTGAGCACACACACACACACACACTCACAAACAAGTCACTTGGGACACCCATGCCAGAGCTGAGGACTATCTACAACGCCTTTATTCTCCCCAAATTAACGTATGCGTCACCAACCTGGTCTTTTTATCTCAACTCCACCCAACAACGTCAGCTAGAGAAGGTACAGAAGAGGGCCTGCAGAATCATGCTCGGTGCAGACTACTCTGGCTACAACAACGCTCTCTCCACCCTGGAAATGCCATCCCTCAATGACCTCCACCACCAAGCACTAGCAAGGTTTGGCACCTCCCTCGTCATCGCCACCTCCTGCCGCCGGCAGTCCCCCGCCCGCCTCACGCAGTCAGCCACTACAACAAAATTCAGCCCATAAGAGCCCGCACCGATAGATATAAGAATAACACCATCCCATCTATTGTTAAAATAGTAAACAACTCCTGATTTATGTACTTTACAACCCTGTAAATGTATTCACGCATATCATTATGTCTAAATCACATGTAAGTTTATATATTTTCAGCCACCGGCTGCAACTCTATTAATAAACCGTTTATTATTATTATTATTATTATTATTACACACACACACACACACACACACACACACACAGACTACTTCCTCCTTGAGAAGCCCAGGCTGACCTACCCTGAATCACACCTCGGATCAGAAGAATTATGCAGCAGAGAGACACCGCCTTTTATCTCAATGACCACAACCGCTACAGCGCCCTTCGCAGCCAAGCCATCATTGAAATATGCGCTTCAAAGAAGTGTTACTACCCAATTAAGCTGCAACACCTGAAGCAGACCAATATCAGTCAGTGGTATAGTAAGTTGAAAGAGTTCTGTGGACTAAACAATAGGACACACCCCCTCCCCTTCCTTATCCATCTCACTAATCGTGACTCAACCATATGCCAGACGCTCCCCCGCCTTCACACATTCAGTCTCTCTGCTTACCTACCAGCCCCATTTTCCACTGACTTAGTGGAAGAATTTGAAGGTGAAAAACGTTTGGACAAACTGAAGTTAAAACGCTCCACCACCCCCATTGACTTACCAATGAAACTCTACAAAGAGCTATTCTCGGAACTAACTCCTCCATCAATGCTTCTATCAGTCAAGCAGGATGCCCAGCTGATTGGAAGACCTCATATGTGTCACCAGTGCCCAAGTCATTGAACCCACAATCCTTAAATGAGCTACGACCCATTGCCATCACCCTAATACACGGTTTATTCTGCAAAAATTTCGTTTTTGATTGTGCCTATGCTGATATTGCAGGCGCCATAGATCTTCAGCAATTTGGCAATATAAAAACTTCCTCCACCACTCACTGTCTTATCACCTTTATCGACTACATATACCGCCGTCTAGAAAAATGAAAGACGTCTGTGGCTGTCGCCTTCATTGACTTCACCAAGGCATTTGACCTAGTCGACCACAATTTAATAGTCAACAAAGCTATCGACCTCGGGTTTTGGAGAAGTCTTATACCATGACTTACAGACTTCCTTAGTGACTGACGCCAAGCTGTTCGCTTTCAAGAGGCTGGCTCCACCTTTCAGTCACTCACCTGTGGCGTTCCCCAGTGCACCAAGATGGGACCGCTATGCTTCCTCACGCTTATCAGTGATGCACTAAGAGAAACTTCTCACTGGAAATATATCGACGACTCCACCATTGGAATTAGTGTGAACAACTCGGTTTCCGATTACAGCGCCCTCCAGAATATAATGAATAGTCACCAAAATTGGGCCACCAACAACCATGTCACCATCAACCAAACCAAGACCATGGTTATACACTTCAACCTCTCCTCTGACCTTGTTCCACCTCCCTCCATAACTTTTGGCCCCAACATACTCGAGGACGTGGACTCCACAAAGCTCCTGGGTGTAAATAGAAACAACAAGCTAAATTGGAAAACACACATCAGTACAATTGTCAAATCATCCAGTTTCCGTCTCCACCATCTCCGCCGACTCAAATCCCTTGGAGTCCAAGCGCCCGAGCTCCTCAGTGCTTACTCAATATTCATACTCCCTAAGCTCACCTATGCCTCCCCTGCCTGGTCTTTCCCCCTAAATGCCACACAACGGAAAAACCTAGAAAAAGTGCAAAAGAAGGCGTGCAAGATTATTGTCTCCCCCTCCTACTTTATCAAGAAGCGCTCAACACACTGACCCTCTCGGCTACCTCTGATCATTACCATGATTTAATTGGCAAATTTGGGGAGTACCTTCTATATCATCCTCGACACTGGCTCCTGCTTCCAACCGAGAACCCTCGTCCACCAATTACTTTTCGACACCACAACCGCATGCAGCACATACGAGCACGTACTGATCACTGGAAGAACAGTCCAGTCCCAAACAATGTAAAAATTATCAACAACTAGTAGTCGACCAGTGTATTCACTCCTAGCCAATCATATTTTTTGCACTGTTACTGTGTTGAAATGCCCCGTAATATTACTTTCTCCCCTCTTTGTTATTATATATCATATCTGTATCACTTACATTACACCGGTCAACAAAATTTTCTGGCACAAGGTTTTTAAACGGATTTTAAGTAAATTTGGGGTCCAGAATCCAAATATGACTTTGGTTTTTGTCTATCACATCAGGTTTTTGAGATATACCATATTGCACTTTTGCTGGGAAACGTAAACTTTTGGATCAAAATTGACGGTTTAAACATGTATACATAAATTTTTTCAGCATTATAATTTGTATTTTTCTATAACCAAAAATTGTTAATATCAAATTGGAAAGTTAATGCACATATAATATTTAAATGTAACATTGAAGGGTGAAAAAAAACAATTAATGTACGGTAGAAATAGTGCAAGTATTAAGATCAAGTTACAGTTACATAAAATTCCTCATTTTGGCCGATCTCTTATGTACAGCTTCTGGAATGTCTCTCATCAAACTCCAGCAGTAGTCCGCCATCATGTTCGAGTCCCATCGACCTTGGTAACGTTCTTCCATTACTTTAATGTCTTGATGAAAGTGCTCCCCTTGCTCCTCGCTCACTTCTCCCAGATTTTCTGGAAACTCGTCCAGGTGACTGTGTAAGTAGTGAACCTTGATACTCATTCTGCATCCAAGTGCTTGTAAACTCAAGAGCAGCTCTTCCACAATTTCTTGATAGTTGTCCGCTTTCTTGTTCCCTAAGAAGTTCCGCACCACATTAGAGAAAGCATTCCAAGTTCTTGCCTGTGCCTCAGTCATTGTTGTAAGGAAGTGTGGATCTCTGAGTAGTGTTCTTATTTGAGGTCCATCAAAAATCCCTGCCTTTTTCTTCTCGTCGCTAAGACTTGGAAAGGTTGAGCATATATATCTGAAACACTCTCCACTATGATCAAGAGCCTTGACGAATTGCTTCATGATACCAAGTTTTATGTGCAGAGGAGGAAGGACAATGTTTTTCCTGTCAACCAGAGGATCGTTAATGATATTCTTGTCACCAGGCGTCAAACTATGTCTTGGTGGCCAATTCTTTTTCACCCAATGGTCTGCTGTAGCCCTGCTGTCCCAGTAGCACAGAAAACAGGGGTATTTTGTGTACCCTCCTTGCTGGCCCAATAGAAAGTTTACCATTTTCAAGTCCACACAAATTAACCATTCATGAGCATGGTATTGCAACCTCTCTAGAACAGTCTTAATGTTTTCATACTCTTCTTTAATTTGTACAGAATGTCCGATTGGAATTGAACCATACTTGTTTCCGTTATGAAGAAGAACACATTTCAAGCTCCTTTTAGAACTGTCAATAAAAAGTCTCCAATCCTTACTATCATATGCTGGTAGTGGAGAGAAGAAGTCCTTCTACATCATTACAAAAAACAAGCTGGTCATATGAATGAAAGTACTTCCGCAGTTGCTCTTCTCTGTTGCGATAAAAGGAGACACTCGTGCCAGGTTTTAAGAGTCGTTTCTCTTGAAGCCTGAAAGCTAACAATTCAGCATACTGTTTTGGCAAATTTAGATCTCTGACCAGATCATTCAATTCTGACTGAGTAAACAACGTTGGCTTTTCACAATCTTCACCAGATGGCTTGAAAAGATCAGTCTCTTCATCTTCATCCGTAGAAACAGGTGAATTCCGGTCTATATCCTCAATCTCTGGTAGCTCAGTAAATTCTGGCACGTTACGTGATGGAGCAAATCTGAGATCAGATTTGGATTCAGCACCTTAAAGTTAGTAAAAAACAGTTAAAAGGTTTCATGCCAGAAAAAAAAATATTTTTTTGTAGACCAGTGTTATTTGTCAATCAAGTGATCCAATTCCCCAATTATGTAAATGTATATTTTCACCTTTCTGGTTGCCACGCTCTTTTAATAAATCGTGAATTATTATTATTATTATTATTATTACAAGCAACCCACCCCCCTCCCCCACACATACACACACACAGAATCAGTGTTCTAACAAATAAAGAGGGTCAACTAACGAAATTACAGGACTGCAATGATGCTCTAATATATGGTAAGTGATTATACATAACGTCCAAACATATTCTTATTCCCTGCACTGATGTCAGCTATTTAAGCCACTGATAGTTTAATTAACGCTAAAGGAGCAGTGTATAACTTCCATAACGTTACGGGTTCTATTGATGTTTCTCCTAGGGTTCGTTTGGCTGTTGTGGTAACAGTTGGTTTCCTTGTCAACAGCTGCGGTTGGTGTTCCAGAACCAATATGGTTATTACATCGGCAACGCTGTGGTGCCCAGCTTGCTCATGGCCACCATATGCTACCTCACCTTCTTCTTCGACCTCGACGACTTTACGGTATGGTATAACGTTGCTTACATTGTGGTGATTTACAGTACAATTATACATTGAGCTGAGTATATATATATATATATATATATATATATATATATATATATATATATATATATATATATATATATATATATATATATATATATATATATATATATATATATATATATATATATATATATATACAGGTCATCGACCCACAACGGGGCCTAGGTGGATGAAAAAAAATAAAAAAAAATTTTTTTTATTAATCTACACCACGAAGATGTGTATGTGTTATGCTTCATTGGCCAAATAGGGATGATTGCCGATTAGCGATAACTCCTCTATATTTATCATTTTTGAAAACTCTGACTGGTAATAAGCGATTAAGCAGGTCATAAAAATACATGTATTCGTATATGAAAAGTTTCATGCTGTATCTAACCTGCCCTAACCTAACCTTACTTACTTTAGGTATAATTTTGCTAAATTATGATGGTAATCGACGCCTCACATGGAACAGAACGAATTTGAACAAATTTCCATTAATTTAGAGCAATAAAAAAAATGCTAATTGGCACGTTTCGTCAACAGCTCACAAAGATGTACTTTATCACAGGACCGCATAATGGTCTCGCTGACGTCCCTGCTGGTGCTGGCAGCACTCTTCACACAGACCAGTCAGTCCATCCCTAAGACCGCCTACCTCAAGCTTATTGACATTTGGTACGTCACCCTCATCATCACCGACTTCCTCATCATCGTGATGCTTGTGCTCATCGAGAATCAGAGGATGCAAGAAAAACTCTCCAGAGACTCGTCTAATTCTGTATTTAAGAGTGCACGTAAGATCACGCCTGTAGAGACTGCTGGGCAGCTCATGGCTGCAAACGAATTCGATGACAAAAGGAATAGATCAAACACAGCTAAGACAATGAATACAATATCTTTGTGTTCGTTCCCGGTGTTGGCAACAGTAGGATGTTTCTGCTGGATACTGATACATCTCCAGAAATCCCCGACCTCTCATGGTACTTAGTGCATTATTCATCAACTCTTTCGACTACTAGACGTGAACAGGCAATATTGACAAAGGTCGTATCAAATCTTAGCTTACTGGTAAAAGAGAAGAATTCAATATGGATGCCACCACATGCGTTGGAGGTGGTGTGTGGATTAGTGGATCCCATGTTATTGACTTGACCTGATGTCATGTGAGGTCACCCCTTGTATATAAGCCCCTCTCAGTCCCAGTAAATTCAGTTGACTCTGAATATGTCTTGAATAAAAACGAAATCTAAGGTGCTCCAGTTTTTTTCCCTTTTCTGTGTAGTTTTATCGAGATTTATCATGTTCACATTTCCATCGTGGATATATATATATATATATATATATATATATATATATATATATATATATATATATATATATATATATATATATATATATATATATTGATAAAATCACACAAGGAAAAAGGAAACAATGGATTACCGTAACTTTCGTCTATATTCAAGACCTTTTCAGTACAAGACTCATAATATGTTACACAAATTTATTTGTCAGTGGCCCAAGGTTAAAAATGCTTTGAAAACCTTGGAGTTAGATGTAGGATAGATGATTAGTCGGTCCCTTATTTTTGACCTGACTTAACTTGACTAGTCACGTCGCCCTTTCTCTTAAGCTCCTCTGCTTGTGTGGTGGTGCTGGTGTGCGGATTAGTGGATGTCATGATTTTGACCTGATCTCATGTTTAGTAAGGTCACCCTGTGTATTTAAGCCTCTCTCTGTCCATGTAATTCAGTTGCCTCTGAAGATGTCTTGAATAAAGACGAAAGCTAAGGTGCTTCATTGTTTCCCTTTTCCCTGTGTGATTTAATCAAGATTTATCTTATGCACGTTTTGATTGTGGATCTACAGGATATATATATATATATATATATATATATATATATATATATATATATATATATATATATATATATATATATATATATATATATATATATATGCAAGTAAATCACTGTAGGTGCGCGTGATCTAGTATATGCTGATAACCACAAGGAAAGAAAAGAAGTTCCCAAGCGCTTTCGTGTAATTCACATCTTCAGGGGTGAGTAAACTAGTCTGTACTCACCCCTGAATATGGAAATATATATATATATATATATATATATATATATATATATATATATATATATATATATATATATATATATATATATATATATGTGTGTGTGTGTGCTGATAAGCACAAGGAAAGAAGAAAACACGAAGTTCCCAAGCGCTTTCGTGTAATTTACATCTTCAGGGGGGGGGAGTACAGACTAAGTTGAAGTACAAAGCAAGGTATATATATACAGTTGAGGAGGGTGAGATCAGGTTCCACAATGGTCAGGTATGTGAGGGTCATCTTACCCTCTGACCTGACTACTGACTGCTGCACTTCTTTTTGAAGATTAGTAGGGTCACTACCTAGTGACCTGACCATTGTGGACTTGATCTCACCCTCCTCAACTGTATATATATACCTTGCTTTGTACTTCAACTTAGTCTGTACTCACCCCTGAAGATGTGAATTACACGAAAGCGCTTGGGAAGTCGGTGTTGTCTTTTTTCCTTGTGGTTATTAGCATATACCTGGATCACGAGCACCTACAGTGATTTACTTGCATATATATATATATATATATATATATATATATATATAAAACACCATCCATCATCACTACATATAACACCATCCATCATCACTACATATAACAACATCCATCATCACTTCATATAGCACCATCCATCATCACTACATATAACATCATCCATCATCACTACATATAACACCATCCATCATCACTACATATAACATCATCCATCATCACTACATATAACACCATCCATCATCACTACATATAACAACATCCATCATCACTTCATATAACACCATCCATCATCACTACATATAACATCATCCATCATCACTACATATAACACCATCCATCATCACTACATATAACACCATCCATCATCACTACATATAAAACCATCCATCACTCCATATAACACCATCCATTATCACTACATATAACAACATCAATCATCACTACATATAACAATAGCCATCATCACTACATATAACATCATCCATCATCACTACATATAACACTATCCATCATCACTACAAGGTATTTTTCCAGGTATATAGGACAAAGGTCAAGGACAAAGTTTGGCCCTTAAAGTCAGGGAGGGGAGAAGTGATAAATGGCAGTGAAGACATGAGCAAAGCATTAAACAGCTACTTCTTATCAGTTTTCACAGAAGAAATTTGAGATGAAATTCCAGAGGTGGATCTGATATTTAAGGGAAAGGAAGAAGAGAAATTAAAGAATATCACTATCAAAAAAGAAGATGTTCTTAAGAAGATAAATAAACTAAAGAAAACAAAATCCCCAGGGCCGGATGAAATTTTCCCTCGAGTCTTGAAAGAGTGTAGGGAACAGATTAGCGTACCCCTCGTAAACTTATTTACAAAATCATTAGACACTGGAGTTGTGCCAGACTTGTGGAAAGAGGCAAATGTAGTACCCATATTCAAAAAGGGAGACAGAGCATCAGCGTCAAATTACCGGCCGATCAGTTTGACGTCAGTAGTGGGGAAATTTCTTGAATCAATTATAGCAGATAGCATCCGATCGCATCTAGAGAAGAGCAAATTAATCTACGACTCTCAACATGGGTTTACAAAGGGAAAATCTTGTCTAACAAATCTGCTAACGTTTTTTAGGAAAGTCTTCGAGGTAGTAGATAATGACGAAAATTACGATGTTATTTACTTAGACTTTAGCAAAGCATTTGACAGAGTACCGCATCAGAGGCTTCTGAGAAAAATTAAGGCTCATGGTATCGAGGGGAAAGTTTTAAATTGGATAAAATCATGGCTCACCGATGGAACGCAGAGGGTCAGCGTAGATGGTGTTAAATCTGAGTGGGGCCGTGTAACCAGTGGGGTTCACCAGGGGTCAGTACTAGGCCCACTCTTGTTCATAATCTACATAAACGATCTAGATACTGGGATCAGCAGTGACATAAGCAGGTTTGCGGATGACACCAAAATAGGGCTGCAAATTATTTCAGGGCAGGATGCAAATGCATTACAGGAGGATCTAAATAAATTGCAGGGGAGGTCTGAAAAATGGCAAATGAAATTCAACACCAGCAAGTGCAGCGTACTTAATATTGGAAGAACAAATACTAATAATGCATACAGCCTTAACAACATCAACCTAGAGAAGTCGACTTGTGAAAGAGACCTAGGGGTACTTGTAAGCCCGGACCTACGGCCTAGAAAACAGTGCGTTAATGTTCGAAATAAGGCAAACAGAGTATTGGGTTTTATATCTAGAAGTGTAAGTAACAAGAGTGCAGAAGTTTTATTGCAATTATATCTTGCGCTAGTCAGGCCGCACCTCGATTATGCGGTTCACTTCTGGTGCCCCTATTATAGAATGGATATAAATTCACTAGAGTCGGTGCAGCGAAGAATGACAAAAATGATTCCGGGACTTAGAAACCTTCCATATCAGGATAGGTTAAAGAAACTTAACTTGCATTCCCTGGAAAGACGAAGAGTGCAGGGAGATATGATAGAAGTATTTAAGTGGGTGAAAGGAATCAATAAAGGGGATATAGATAAAGTTCTTATAATATCCGAGCAGGATAGGACTCGGAGCAACGGATTCAAGTTGGATAAGTTTAGGTTTAGGAGGGAGATAGGAAGAAACTGGTTCACAAATAGGGTGGTGGACGAGTGGAACAAGCTTAGCAACTTTGTAGTAAGTGCAGGAACTCTGGAAAGTTTCAAAAAGAGGCTAGATAGATTCATGGATGATAGAGAGTGGTAGTAACTCTCGACAGGAGCTGTCATGCACAGGCCAACCGGCCTATTGCAGACTCCTTATTTTCTTATGTTCTGATAAGATCATCCATCATCACTACATATAACACCATCCATCATCACTACATATAACACCATCCATCATCACTACATATATAACACCACCCATCATCACTACATATAACACCATCCATCATCACTACATATAACACCATCCAACATCACTACATATAACACCACCCATCATTACTTCATATAACGATCAGACAGGCTTGTCACTGGTCAGCGGGGTTAGCCAGAGATCTCCGAAGTGAAACCAGCTGTCTGGGTGCACAACTGACTACCGGTTGGGGTCATCATCTCTCCTCTACCTTGGCCCACAATACCACATATCTTCAAACAGCTTAGTGAAAACATTTTACTAACGGGAAGCTAAAGCGTCTCTCAATTGTACAAGGTCTGATTGGCTCACTCCCTTCCGTTTCATGGATGTACTGGGGTAAAGTGAAGCCAGCTAAGCGAATACAGGGTCACACACTGGGGCCAGGAATCTAGTGGAACTTAGAGATACATTTTCCAAGGTTGAGAAAGGCTGGTTTGGGCCTAAAACTACGGGTGCCTGTTGGTTATGCCTTAAAAAACTACGGAGTGCAGGTGGACTCTATGTGTTAGGTTAGGAAGCATGGTTCACGGGTATTGGTGGACTCAGTAACTTCTTAATAATGGTGATATTATTTTTTTTTGTAGGTAATACTATTTTTTCAGTTACTTGTGTATGCTGTGTGTAGTTAATATCTCTTAAATAATTTTGATAGTATTGACTTTTAATGTTGTGTCACTAATTGATGCTAGAGAATGAGGGAACTGTTCTTCAGATGAGGTTCCTCCTCTGTTGTAAGTGATACTGTGATTTAGTTCCTTTAATGCATTTAATATTTCTTTATAATTTCAATCTCAGGTATAACCTTTGTTCCTCAGAGTAGTGTTTAAGTTAGGTTAGGAGGTGTGCATCTGTGGGGGTAATACAATTTTGTGGAGTGCCCTGAAGGCCTATTCAGGGTGGAGTTAATAATTTCTTATTTTTTTATACCATTTTCTCAGTGCTTGATATAATTTTGTTGAGTGCCCTTAAGGCCTATTCATTGTAAAATTATTAATTTCTTATTTTTTTTAATACTATTTTCTCAGTGGTGGATATTATTTTGTGAAAACCCTTAAGGCCTGTTTCATGTGGGTAAGCAACACTTCTTAATACTTTGAATTTATTGTTGTCTAATGAGGCATTGTCTGAGTTTCTAGTAATTTCAATATCATATATAACTTTTATTCCCCAGAGTAGTGTTTTAAGTTCAGGTTAAGAGGTGCGCATATGTTGGTGTACCATTATTTGATTGTGTCTGTAGTGTTGGAGGGAATATATGTGTCTAAATTCTACAGTGTGTCTCATTCATCCCAATCACAGATGCTATCCTTCCACGGGTCACGGAGAATTCACTTTGCTAGTAAATTTAAGTGTTCTTGTGCTGGTTCGGGATTTTCTCAAAGGGGCACTTCCACTGCACTTTCCATCTAATAATTAATAAACCCCAAGTCAAGTGAGAAATTAATATCCAGTAATTCCGACCCGTTGTTTCCATTTTCCCGTGTGATTTTATCAAGATTTATCTTGAGGCAACTGGATTACATGGACAGAGAGAGGCTTAAATATACTGGGTGACCTTAAAAACATGAGGTCGGGTCATAATGATGTCACCCACTAATTCCCACACCAACACACACGTAGAGGAGCTTAAGAGAAGGGGGTGACGTGACAAGTCAGGCCAGGTCAAAAATAAGGGACCCACTAAATAACTATTATACATCTAGATCAAAGGTTTTCAAAGCATTTTTAACCTTGGGCCACTGACAAATAAATTTATGTAACATATTATCAGTTTTGAACTGACCATCACTAAGGTTTATTGATTTTAATTCCTTAATCAAACTAGCTTCAACCAGAAGTCTTTCTGTGACACAAGATGATTTAAATACTTCTAAGCTTTTTTCCCAAGCAATGGGATGATTATTATTCCTAACATGAACGAACAAGGCACTGCTTTCAGATGCTGTTCTGATATTGTACTTATGTTACATAAGAACATAAGAAAATAAGGAGTCTGCAATAGGCCGGTTGGCCTGTGCATGGCAGCTCCTGTCGAGAGTTACTACCACTCTCTATCATCCATGAATCTATCTAGCCTCCTTTTGAAACTTTCCAGAGTTCCCGCACTTACTAAAAAGTTGCTAAGCTGTTTGATTCTGAGCTGCAGTGTTTTTCCTGTCTGTCCTACATAATTACAATTACATTTGCTACATGGAATACAATAAACACTTCCATTTACATTCAAACTTGGGCTATTTTTTATTAACATATTGGTAATGGTTGAGTCATACGTGAAAACAACATTAATATTTAGTAGCTTGTGGGACCGAACTAACGGGACAAATTCATTACGATAGGGCAGAGTCAAAATATTCTTAAGTGTAGGAACTTGTCTGGTTTGAGAGGAATGAAAGGATTTTTTAGCCCTTTTAAAACAACGATCAACAAACACAGAAGGGTACCCGAGTTTTTGTGCAATAGAACGAATGTGTTTCAATTCATCGTCAATAAATTCAGTCACAAATACGCAGACATCTTAAGAACATAGCCAGGCAAATTCCTACATATATATATATATATATATATATATATATATATATATATATATATATATATATATATATATATATATATATATATATATATATATATATATATATATATATATATATATATATATATAATTATATATATATATATATAGTGTTTTTGTTTTGTGTATTTCTTTATTATTATTACTGAATTATTATTATTATTGATACTATTATTATTTTATTTTACTTTTTATTATAAATTTTATTTATTATGAATAATTATTACATTTTCGTCCCCCCAGGCCCCGATGTGGGTCAGTGACCTGTGCCCAGGTGGGATAATCCCCGTAAAAAAAATAAACAAACTATCTGTATGTCATGCATTTACGCTCGGTTAATTACCACCAAGGGTATCAGCGTATCTCTTACTAAAGTATATGATCATCTTGCACTCATGTGAGTTGACCTTTAACGCGTCACAAGAAGGGAAGACACATTCTCCTGGACCATAACAATAGTGGGGTATAACAATTATACTGTGAATATATTCTTTTGACAAGCTACCAAATAGTTTCCATCACACAAATAGGAACAAGGATTTGTTTATATTTTCCGTCGGCAGAAAGAGAAAGAGAGAGAAAAAATGAGTAGAATTGGCCAAAAAAGGTGTCAATGTCATTTCATTTGTTGTCTTTACAGAGTCAATAAATACTACGATCTCTTATCGACAGTGATTCATTCCCTCGTTGCAACTCACACGATATAGTCAAGCGCTTCCGTCACCTACTGCTCGCCACCACTCTGTAAGACGCTACCTACAAATTATTTATTAAATCTGTATTAGTAATTTGTAACAAAATCACTCGAAGCAATGTATATTCTATTTACTTTTAAAGAGAATATTTTTTTTATAGGGCAAAAGATGTTAACCTTACATTCTTTGGAATACACGCCGCTCTTTATACACACACACACACACCCAATGGAAATACAGAACTTAATCGTTAAGAGTAGAATTACAATTTGCAGTATAACATTAACCCTGTTGCTGTATGGCATCACAAAAGTTGTGACAAAGTCCCAGGTTGCTGATCTGTCTTTCTGCCTCATTTACACACAATTGCAGGGTCTCAATTGTTTCTCTTACTTGACAACACAACATACATTTAGTGTTTCTCACTTTTTTTTGTATTTCTTTATAGTTCTTTATTATTATTATTATTATTATTATTATTATTATTATTATTATTATTATAGTGTTATTATTATTATTATTATAGTGTTATTATTATTATTATTATTATTATTATTATTATTATTATAGTGTTATTATTATTACTGATATCATTATCATTTTTTTTACTTGTTATTATTTTATTTACTATGAATAATTATTACATTTTCGCCCCCCAGGCCTCGATATGGGTCAGTGACCTGTGCCCGGGTGGGCTAATCCCCGTAAAAAACAATTACACAAATGATCGGTATGTCATGCATTTACGCTCGGTCATCCTCCCTTTTGACCTGCTGTCCCTAGGGATTTGATCTCCTTCACTGTGTACATTAGTCTTGTCAATCTACCCTTAAGATGTGAATTACACGAAAGTGCTTAGAGATGGCATGGTAAATTTTTTGACCTGAATATGGTGGACACCTACGGTCCCCTAGGGGCTTGATCTCATTCTCCTTTACTGTATATATTAGCCATGTCAATAATTACTCCTTAGTCTGTACTCACCCCTGAAGATGTGAATTACACGAAAGCTCTTGTGGGAACTTCGTGTTTTCTTGTGGTTATCAACATATATACAGAATATATATATATATATATATATATATATATATATATATATATATATATATATATATATATATATATATATATATATATATATATATATATATATATGTAATATTCAGAAATTTCAGTGTAATTTCAAACACCGCGCCATTGGCGATACTGAGCTTTCAAGGTCGTCGGAGGGAAGAGAGCGCTCCCTGCACATAGGGAGAGGTTGTGGAACTAGGCCTAAGTGATATTAAATGTAATTTGCCGAATTAATAATGATGAGATTCATGAAGTTAAGGACTATTATTGAATTTGAAATTATTATAGATCGTTTATCAGTCTGAATAATGTTACGGGTGTCCCAAGGAGTTATTAGTTAGGCGGAAAATGTGTCACGTAGGCCTAAGCTAACGCCTTGAGAGGACACGAGGCGGGCTCTCTCTCAGTCACGGGGAAGCATTCAGACAAACAAGACGTCCCTGCGCGTCCGTCACAGAAATAGTCACGTGGCCTAGTCACCTGTGTTGCGCTATTGCAGTATAACAAGTAAGTCTCATTCGTTCTCAGACAGGGTTAGATAGGGCAGTGGTAAAGTTAACAAGAGCTAACAGTGAGTTCATTTCAGGGTTTCCGTCAGAACCCACTTGACCGCGAGTTTGACTGCGAGAAATTGGCTGCTAGAGACTGACTGCCTTTCGAGACTGCCGTTGATGATTGAGGCTTGGCGATTGTCGCCTTCGGAACGATCAGTGTAGGCTTGTCACTGGTTAGCGGGGTAGCAAAGGATCTCTTGAGTGAACGAGTGCTCCCGACAACTAAAACGACACGGGACCAGCATCAGCAGTGGGTGATCAGTTCTTACCACGTGGGTGCACAACACCGCGTGTCCTCGGTCAGCTAGAAGTGTTACCTACTGGCCATAGACACCTGCTGGCGTTCTCTCTTCCTGCCCATGGAGGCACTGGGAGTACACTGAGGCTATCTGAGTAAATTAATGGTCACACGCTGAGACCATGAGTCTAGGGGTTTACCTAGAGGAACATTTTATCTCCCTTATTACGGGTGTATGTTGAGTTAGGTGGAGCATGGTTCTCGGGTATTGGTGGACCCAGTAACATATCAACAATAGTGACTATATTTGTGTGTAGTTAATACCATTTCTCAGTTACTGATGTTATCTTGACGTGTGTGGTTTAGTATTTCTTAAATAATTTTGATAGTATTGTTTTTTGAATGTTTGTGTCACTAAGTGGAACCAGAGTGATACTGTGATTTGATTCTTTTAAAGCATCTAATTTTTCTTCATAATTCCGATCTCAGGTATAACCTTGTTCCCCAGAGTAGTGTTTAAGTTAGGTTAGGAAGTGTGCATCTGTTGGGGTAATATAATTTTGTTGAAAGCCCTTAAGGCCTGTTTCATGTGTGCAAGCAACATTTCTTAATACTTCAAATTTATTGTTGCCTGAGTTTCTAATAATTTCTATATCATGTATAACTTTTATTCCCCAGAGTAGTGTTTTAAGTTCAAGTTAAGAGGTGCGCATATTGGTGTACCATTATTTGATTGTGTTTGTAGTGTTGGAGGGAATAGAAGTGTCTAAATTTTACGGTGTGTCTCATTCATCCCAGTCACAGACGCTATCCTTCCACGGGTCACGGACAAGTCATTTTGTTTAGTAGATTTAAGTGTTCTTGTGCTGGTTCGGGATTTTTCTCAAAGGGGCGCTTCCACTGCCATTTCCATCTAATAATCTTTAATAAACCCCAAGTCAAGTGAAAAAATATAGTCCAGTAAATTCCGACCGGTTACATATATATATATATATATATATATATATATATATATATATATATATATATATATATATATATATATATATATATATATATATATATATATATATAACTGTAAATTCACATTCAAGATTTCAAAACAATATCCTATTTGTTTCGAATAATTTAGAATTTTTAGATATGATATTAATTTTACCATCGCCGCAACCCGTGTAAAATAATTTACTTCATAGGAAATAAATCTTAGATAATGTATATTATTCTAAGGGTTGCTAATTGTCTAACAAAAACCTTATCAAAATGCCTCATTGGTGTCATAAATGAAGGGTAAAGACGAAATAAAAATAACTATCAATTATCTAATGTCATTTGTAGAGTCATTTGCTTACCCTAGTAGCATTTTTTCACGGCGTCTCCAATTAAACAGAGAAAATCTTACCATTTACTAATTGATTTCCTTTTAATTATATCAATAAAAAGTAAACAATTTCCTATTTCGTAAAACTGTTAGTTTCTTTTTAAAGTATAATTTCACTGGGCTGCAGTTGAAAGTTTGTTTTTCAGAGGTCAAGGCTTACTCAACGGTTCTTATGTGCTTTTTGCATGCTGAATTCAGAAATGTAACTCAGTTCGCTCAATCAGGTCAGTTTTTTATGCTATCCCAATTTTAAGAAAATAAGTAATCGAAAATAATATTTTTTAAATTAGCATGTTTATTTATCAAATCAGACTTACATTGACGGAAAATGTATAAACTATACTGTACATAAATGGTACACAAGTACAGTTAATGTGAATTTCAATATTAAAAAGAAAGAAGAAGGAAAAAAATTAATGTGGAATAAACGGCTTTCGCAAAGATTTTCGTCTGTGTTCTTCATCTGTAACGTTTCTCTTGACGCGCCTGCAGTAGTCCGCGAGCGTGTTCACATCACAGCGGCCCTGGTGCCTCTCTTCCATCACTCGAATATCCTGGTGAAAGCGCTCTCCTTGCTCCTCGCTGACATCACCACAGTTTTCCGGAAAGTAGTCTAAATGCGAGCTGAGAAAATTCATCTTTATGGACATGCGTGCACCAAGAGCTGGAAGCTCTGCAGGAGCTCCTCGACAACACGTTCGTACTCTGGACTTCGTTACAATGGATTTGAATGCGAGCCAGGCATTCCTCTCATTGTCCTCCATACTTTCATCGAATTTAGGATCTTTCATAAGCTCCCTGATCTGAGGGCCATCAAAAATACCTGCTTTCAGTTTGGCCTCACTTCAGCTTGGAAATTTTTGATTCAGGACAGCGAAAGCTCGGCCTTCTTTGTTCAGTGCTTTGACAAAATTCTTTATAAGTCCGAGTTTGATGTGCAGTGGCGGAAGTAGAATCTTCTGCGGATTCACAAGAGCGTGTGACACAACGTTTGCGAACCTGGTTCCAGGCCAGGTCTTGCTGGCCAATTGCGTTGTACATAATGCTGCTTGTCTGCTCGGCTGTCCCACAGACAGAGAAAGCCTGGGTATTTGGTGTAGCTGCCTTGTAGACCCAGCACCATGGACACAACCTATAAATAAAAAGGAACACACATATTTGTTTTGAAATTTGTTATACCATTTTAGTAATAAATTCATATTTTAATCCATTTTAAGAATATTTATATGCATATGTACACTTTAAACGACATATGGCCAACCAGAGATTTCGAGTGGTCTTAAAAATAATGTACTACTAACAGAAAATCAACTCTTGGAATTAATTTAGAATATTAAGTACTGCACTTTCTCTTACTTAAAAAATAAATTACCTAGGTTGGCAACAACATACCTTTAGGTCTCCGCAAATCATCCAATTGTGATGTTTGTATTTCAAAGCAGTTAGCAAATGGTCCATGTTACTATAGTTCCCAGTCATCTGCACAGAGTGACCCACCGGAACAGACGAGATCTTATTACCAGTGAAGAGAAGTACTGCTTTCAAGCTTCTGCTTGAGGAATCGATGAAGAGCCGCCATTTTGTAGGATCATACGCAAAACCCATAGCTGAAATGAGGCCGTTGACGTTGTTACAGTAAACCAGCGAAACTTCTTCGTCCGAACTGAAATATTCTCGAAACTCTTCTTCACGGCTGCGGTACCAGGAGAATGTCGTTTCCGGTGCTAACAAACGATTTTCGCGAAGAAGTGACCCTAGCAACTGAGCAGATTCTTTGGACAAGTACAAATCTCGTGTCAAATCGTTCAACTCAGCTTGGCTCAGGGGTTTGGGTTGACTTGTCTCGGCCGTAGGTTGATGTATACCAGATATGTCACCATCATCCATTTTTTCATCGGAATCGGACGGCGAATCTCTGCAGTTTTGGGGCGATACTTGTGTATCATTTTATGTATAGTTTGTACATTTTTCGTTAATGTAAGTCTGATTTGAAAAAAAAAAATAAAAATGCTAATTTAAAAAATATTCTTTTCGATTATTTATTTTCTTAAAATTGAGATAGCATAAAAACCTGACCTGATTGAGCGAACTGAGTTACATTTCTGAATTCAGCATGCAAAAAGCATTTAAGAACCGTTGAGTAAGCCTTGACGCAGACAGTGCTGCGATTATCCCTATTTAGGCTATACAAATTTAGGGTGGGATTCGAACTTTATACATTTTCTCACCTGTGAAGCCATTCTCCATGTCTGCTCTCAACGATAATGATATGTTTCTTCCTTCGCCTCATACTCGCGGCTGTTTTTATTTCAAGTGATCTATAACCTGTTAAAGACTATTTATTGTATCCGTCTCGTCCCCGCATCACACACATGATGGAATGTGTCTGTTAGATCACCGAATATAGAAATATTTTTTTCTGGGTTTTCAATTGCCACTACATTTGATTGGTCACTAATCAATTATTAAGCCTGCTTGACCATTAATCGTAATTGATGGTGGACAAGAATCTATCTTAGTCAATATATCAGATATAATTGACTTCGATCCCAACGCTTGAGTCTTGTCCTTTAAAAGCTGGAGTACGTGTTGTGTGGAATGTCTTCTTTATTTATTTTCCCTCCAGCCTGGGAAGCAGCAATAATTAAGGCTGCGAAGAACACCATCCATTTCGAAGGTCAGAACGTAAAAAATTGTTTAATTGAAGTATGTTTGTACGTAATGACCGATCGACGATCTTTTAAGTGTTAATTAGATTCCTTTGGACTCAGAATTCATCTTGGCATCATTGGTTTTCAAGTTTAGTAAGTCTTAATTTCGTTAAAAACAGTGGCTCTGTTGCCATCTTTCTCAAAACAGTGGCCTTTACTTTCGATATTTAGCCATTTTTCAGAATTTCCGACGAGTCTATGGGAACAGATAGCCGGACAGGTAGAATCACACAGTATTGTCACTATCCTTAAAAGACGCAGATGTTTTTCGATTATAAGCCGTATTATATTTATGTTGCCTGAAGAGACTACGAAGATATATTGACTTTGAGTGTATTGTGGTACTCTGCTGCATACTTCATTGAATTCTCACACACACAGGAGTATGGACCGACGACAAAGACTCCGGCCAACAACTTTGGCTGAGCGCGTCAGACTGGTGTGGATGTGGGTGGAAGGAACCCCTCTGAGAATCATAGCAGAAGAGACGGGTACGAGCGTCACCACTGTCAGCAGGTGGATAAGACGATGGCAACTAGAGGGCAATGTCGAGACAAGACACCGAAAAGGCAGGCCGCGTGGAAGGCGTGGGAATTCTACGAATATTGCGCACTCGCCGAATAATCAGTTCTCTTCGCTCCCTGTGAATTATGCTCACATTTTTCACTCTTTCCATTAAGCAAAGAGAAAATTGTTTCAGGCCTTCCTCCATGCAGTAAAGTATGTTTGGCACATACGTTATAGCTTACCATATATTCACGGACAGTCGAACATGTGCTTATCAGTTTTCAATGAGGCGTGTTGAATTGATAGTCCTTGTCCGCAACATACAGTACCTTGGCAAGAACAAAATTTACCATATATTATGTAGTGTTCTGCGCCTATAATAATAGCCATGGGTACTATACACACACTACAATAAGAGAGTTGTTCTGTGAGCATTTACAGTCAACTCAACTCGGTTCGGAAAAAAAAAATTGCCAGACTACGAGGAGGACGAACAAGTTAATATCTACCTTAAACTAGACCCAATAAAACAGGACCTAAGCTTCTACCTTTTCCATAATTGTATATGTTAGTGTTGTTACAGTGTATAAAATAGAATCCAATCACTAACTTTGAATATCCTTTACCCTTAGTACCGGGTTCAAATATGCAATTCTTATAAACACAAATATATTGGAACTTATATGACCACAAACTCAAATCAAGATATACGTTTTAGGAAAAAATCTACCCTACTTTCAACAGTAAAATATGAATTATCTTGATAATTATAGCCATCCCTGTGAACCAATAGGCGTTTTTAAGGCTTCAGTATGGTGAAAATAGAAAATAACAGCAACAATAATAATATTAAACAGGAATATCATCAAAGTAATTGCCTTACGGAGGTAAAACTTGACTATTCAGGGGAGGTATGGAATTAAGACCATCTTCTAGCCTTCTTTTTTTCTTTCGACTTCCAGATGTCTCAGGGGGACAAGGCCAAGATGGAGGCGCCTGTGACGTTAGTGTTGGTGATGACGACTCTGGTCTCCCTCTGTGTCTCTCAAGTACTTTATCCTAATGGTAACTGATGAATGGTGTCATGCTGCCCTCCTTGTGACCACAAAATATACATTGTAAAATTGGTTCTTATTAGTAATAAGTTATTATATTCACTACCTGGAAATCTCATAAAGTTGAGTTTCTAGCATAGATCATTATCCTTGACCCTGACAGGTAGTACGGAAGCGCTGTCAGTAGCGAGAGAGGCTTTAGGTGATGTTTTAGCAACTGTGTCACATCCTCACAGTTCTCTCATCTTTCTCACTGACGGCACCACCTCGGCAGCCACTCTCTTCATGGTACGCCATAATCTTAGTAAAAATATTAAAAAAAACTAAAATATGTAGATCCATATTTAAAAACACCCCAAAAATATAAATATCTCGGTGATCTAATGTCCATAGGCGCCTTTCTTATTTCGTTTTAATATTTACATAATATTGTCGGGATCTGTTTTTGTATTGACCTAAACACAAACTTTACAAACCTAATATCCAAAGATAAGTTATGAAACACAAATAAATGAATAGTTAATTACCTTATATTCCAGAGCTATTCCTAAGGATTCTACAAGTTTAACCAACATTAATTTTGATTTTACACAAATACGAGACAGATGCGGCCTCCCTGGGGGATAAGCGTACTGGAGGTGACAGTGAACAGTCAAGATGCTGTAGACACCCAGGCGAGGTTCTCCAGGGCGGTGAAGGAAGCTCGCAAGGTAGGTCACGAGAGGTCACCTCTACGAGGTATACATTTGAAGTGGTATGACACTATACCGGGGGAAGAGTAAAGTATATTACATTAAATGTAGAATGGACGAGGTGACGGTCTTAATTTTTTCGTAAGATGGCAGATCAGGGTAAAGAAAACGCTTAAATTCACTATGGTAATGATATTTTAAAATAAATTGGGTCAAAAAGTGTCAGAAATAAGGGTTAAAGTTGCTAAAAAGCCACGTGACTGCGAAAAGCTCTGTGATTGGTTGTGACGTCACTGGCTGGAGCGAACCCCTCAGCGGGAGGCAGCCAGCTGTAGTTGTCCAATCTTCTCGGCTGATCGGCTCAGTAAATAGATATTATTAGGTAATTAATTTTCCTTTATTGTGCAACACAGTAATACTATTTTGAATATATAAATATTACGAAGCAGATAAACTAATTCAATGTATATTAGCTGCCCATACAACAAATTTCCTAGTATAAACATTCCAAACAATATTGGTATTATTTTGGGTTTGGTCATCAGGGGAACCTTAAGATTCTAACTATGGGATTAAGTACTTTAAACAATAAGACACATTATCTCTACATGATTTCTGTCTCAAAACATTTTTCAATCGCATAAGAAAATGCAGATCATTGTTAGGTTAGGTTATGTTAGGGTATGATCGTTCTTAACACATATCAAACCACCAGAAAAAAAACAGTCTGCATGTCTAAGTACAGGGATGACCAAAACTTAAATTTACCCAATATAGCCTATCTCGAATCTAAACATCCAAATACTTATAGAAGTTAAAGAAAAATTTTACCCATTAATTAATATAAATGATGATATATCCCAGTGGTTCATTAGTGAATCACCAAAACAATAACAGCACTATGTTGTCATGTTTACCTGGCATCAGGCATTCCCAAAACAAAGTCCAGACAATGTCATCACTTTTAAATTTACTCGTATCTCCATCTAGTACTGATATACTCTGTAAATGTACTAAAAAAAAAAGAGAACGTCTATCAGGTAAGAGTACATGATAGCTAAGCTGGTGTGAACATGGGAGTTTTTATGTTCAAAAGAACATAAGAATGGAGGAAACAGCAGAGAGCCTATTGGCCCATACTGGGCAGTCCCATTTACACTCAACCCCTATCGCTCTTATATCCATCCAAACTATGTTTGAAGCTGCTCTTCACGGCACATTTCTTCACTTACGATATGTCCATGACTTAGACCATAAAAAAACACCCTTAAACCTTACCTGAACGTGGCATTTGGGGTCTGAAGAGGCCATCCTTTCTACTCCCTACGACTGCAGCGATGAGTTTGAAGGTAGTGGCGTCATTGAAAATGGCGTCCCTGTTTCTAGAGAAGTAAACTTATCTCAACTATTAAAGCAGGACTTTAAACAAAATATATATACCGTATCACTCTACGAACGTGGCAGTGTTTATTTCTTGTGTTTACCCAGAACCGTCAACTCGTCCATTATTCACAACATGCTGCGAGCCTGAGCAAAACTCGGAGTGTAAAAGCCATAATGATGGAATCAATGTTTATCTGATACATGCTGTATGTATTTATATCCCTAATACATGTATGCATGTTGATTATCACAATATAATCTTTATACATACTGAATCGCCTCACGTGTTTCCTTGATAATGTCTATATCAACAGACGGTAACATGTCCATTTATAATTCGAATTATTGAGAATGAGCTATAGATGGGCAGATTACTCTCACCTCATACTCCAGGCCCTAAGTCAGTTTTATATAATTACTGCTCAGGCGGCAATTTCACTCAAGTCGTTTCTCCTATGGTGACGTTATCAGCTGCGGCAGGTGTCATGGAGCGTGACGGTGGTGGTGGTGAGCGACGACCCAGCCTTCCTCGCCGCCTTAGCCAAGTGGACCCTCAAGGGCCGCCTGCTGGTGTGGTCGACGAGGCTCCTAGCCGTCACCCGCCTGCCTCTCCCTGAGCTCCAACACCTACACAAGACTTTTTCCATGACAAACGCGATGTTACTTATCCTGGAAAATAACTCACTCAGGTAAACGCTTGAATACTTGAATACATCAGCTGAACTTTTCTTAACTGTAATGATGATGATATACAGTACAGTATCTATGCCTACTGTAATCATAATTATAATTGTTAACCCTGGGGGTGCTGCATCACACACGCTCTTTGCAGTTTATACGTGCACCTACCATTTACCCCGAAAGAAGCCCAGGCTCTCAAGATCGCCTCATGGTCACCCCAGCGGGGCCTTGTTCTCACCACCCACCTACAAATTTTCCCGGAAAAGTTTTCAACGTGAGTACCTGGTGCAGCTAACAGTAAGTTTGTAGAAGGTAACTTGAAAACAAATAATTTGGATATATATATATATATATATATATATATATATATATATATATATATATATATATATATATATATATATATATATATATATATATATATATATATATATATATATATATATATATATATATATATATTTTTTTTTTTTTATAAAATCACACAGGGAAAAGGGAAACAATGGCGTACCTTAGCTTTCGTCTGAAGATGTCTTGAATAAAGACGAAAGCTAAGGTGCTCCATTGTTTCCCTTTTCCCTGTGTGATTTTATCAAGATTTATCTTATCCACGTTTTTATTGTGGATCTACATGAGAAATATATATATATATATATATATATATATATATATATATATATATATATATATATATATATATATATATATATATATATATATATATATATATATATATATATATATATATATATATATATATATATATATATATATATATATATATATATATATATATATATATTTATATTAATATGCGTTTTCAGCATCAATTCCGTCTCATAGATTTTACAATGGGCCATCACTCTTGGTGGCAGCTGAGGAGTTTGAGCCTCACATTGCATTAGTTGAGGAGACGGACGGAAGTTCAGCCGTGCCATCATTCACGGGGCCAATGGTCAATTTGCTGGAGATACTGGCTGATACTATGAACTTTACGTAAGTGGCAATTCGGGTTATTGTCTTTCATAGGAAGACATTAAACTTATGGACAATACGTTAATAATTATGAAACACTATGTAGTAACTTTGACGACTTTAATTAATTTTAATTTATTTTTTCTCTATTGCCCGCTGACTATTAATTATTTTCATATAAATTTAAATTTTTTTTTTAATATTAGCCTATAACAATGATTTAAAGATTCATCCTACACCTGTATAATATATGAAACAAGAGTTTTTATCATCTTCAACACATAAGCCCGTAGAAACAAACAATAAAGTACTCGCCAAGGGTCTCGTAGATTTATAACGAATAGTTCCTGTGTTTAAATGATTTACTGTACATACCTCAATTCCGTACGAGTGTAAGAAAGAACCATCTCCTCCATATTAGGTAATACTAGAGTCTTGTCACAATAACACATGAACATAATATGAATACTATCAGTGACCCAAATTTATGACAGTAACCCCAGTATTGTGGCAGTTATCCCAGTATTGTGACAGTGAGCCCAGTATTTTGACAGTGATTCCAGTATTATGATAGTTACTCCAGTATTGTGGCAGTGACTCCAATATTCTGACAGTTATCCCATTGTTGTGACAGTGACCTCAGTTTTGTTACAGTCACTCCAGTATTGTGAGATTGACACCAGTCCTGACTAATCAACAAAGTGTGGTAACTATATTAAACCAGTGAGTTTGTCTCACCAGGTACAGGTACATACGGCCTCCTGACGGGTCTTGGGGAGTCAAGCGCGAGGACGGATCCTGGACCGGTATGGTTGGTATGGTGGGCAGAGGGGTAAGTTTACTTAAAGATACGGACAAAACGTTATAAGAAAATTAAGATGAACAAATAGAGGAAGACTAATTAATAGATGACACATGAAGTCTACGTTACTGAATTTGTCTTAATTCGCTTATCAGTTTATACAAGTTTTTAATATTATTTCTATCTTAATTTTTTGAAATGCAAGCTATTAAGTGTTTTCCATAACCACAGTACATAAAGTTTCAATGAAGATGTACAGAAAATTACGTGACTGTATAAGGCATAAGTATATATATATATATATATATATATATATATATATATATATATATATATATATATATATATATATATATATATGATTTTTTGCGAAATCGGTTATTTTGCAAAATGACAGGCACATATTGGTAATTTTACATATATATATATATATATATATATATATATATATATATATATATATATATATATATATATATATATATATATATATATATATATATGTAACCGGTCGGAATTTGCTGGACTTTAATTTCTCACTTGACTTGGGGTTTATTAAAAATTAATAGATGGTAATGGCAGTGGAAGCGCCCCTTTGAGAAAAATCCCGAACCAGCACAAGAACACTTAAATTTACTAAACAAAATGAATTGTCCGTGACCCGTGGAAGGATAGTGTCTGTGACTGGGATGAATGAGACACACTGTAAAATTTTGACACTTATATTCCCTCCAACACTACAAACACAATCAAATGATGGTACACCAATATGCGCACCTCTTAACTTGAACTTAAAACACTACTCTGGGGAATAAAAGTTATACATGATATAGAAATTATTAGAAACACAGGCAACAATAAATTTGAAGTATTAAGAAATGTTGCTTGCACACATGAAACAGACCTTAAGGGCTTTCACAAAATAATATCAGTCATTTAGGAAATGGTATTAAAAATAAGAAATTAAATACTCTACAATGAATAGGCCTTAAGGCATAAGATAAATCTTGATAAAATCTCACAGGGAAAAGGGAAACAATGGAGCACCTTAGCTTTCGTCTTTATTCAAGACATCTTCAGAGACAACTGAATTACAAAGACTGAGAGAGAGGTTATGTACACAAAGTGACCTAACAAAACAGACAGTGATCGTTGTCTTAAGAGGGCTAAAAAATCATTGTATTGTACTCAAACTAGACAAGTTCCTACATTTAAGAATATTTTGACTCAACCTTAAATTATATTATCAAACATTAATGTTGTTTTTAAGTATGACTCAACTCTTACTTATATATTAATCAAGAATAGCCCAACCTTGAATGTAAATGGAAGTGTTTGCTGCATTTCATGTATCAATTGTAATGGAAATTATGTAGGACACACTGGGAAAGCATTGCGACATAACAAGTCATGTCAAATCAGGTAAAAAGTATGAGAACTACTAATCATCATTTAACCTTGGGCCACTCACAAATAAATTGTGTAACATATTGTCAGTTTTGATCTGACCATCACTAAGGTTTATAGAATACATTTATCTAATCAAACTTGCTTCAACCAGAAGTCTTTCTGTGACACATGTTGATTTAAACACTTCTTTACTGTTTTCCCAATCTATGGGATGATTATTGTTCCTTATATGAACGAACAGTGCACTGCTTTCAGATGCTGTTCTAACATTATACTTGTACTGTTTTATTCCAAGTTGCAATGCTTTCACAGTCTGACCTACATAATGACCATTACATTTGCTACATGGAATACAGTAAACACTTCTATTTACATTCAAGGTTGAGCTATTCTTTAATAACATATTAGTAATAGTTGAGTCAAAATATTCTTAAATGTAGGAACTTGTCTAGTTGGAGCACAATACAAGAATTTTTTTCATATTCTTTTTTTTAAGCTTTGTATTTAATAGTTATGGAAAACACTTAATATCTTGAGTTTCTGTTATAATTTTTGTATGAGGATGTTAAATTTCCTCCAAACTCCTTACACTCTTGTTGACGTAGGAGGCGGACATTGGTCTTGGCCCCTTTGGTGTGAGCGCCACTCGAGCTGAGATGGTGGACTTCACGAGGGAGATAATAACAGAGACAGCGAGGATCATGGGAGGTCGGGGTCTGCCGGAGGTGGACGCGTGGGGCTTCCTGCTGCCCCTGGCACCACTGGTGTGGATGGGCATTCTGGCGGCGCTGCTGGTGATGCCTGCTGTGGTGCTTCTCATGTCGGCATTTTCTGGTTTCAAAACCAGCAGTAATAACCTTTGGTCCTCAGATAGGTTCTTCGGTTACATACGCGTACTTCTACAACAAGGTAAGGTAGAGCCTTAGTGTTGGGATTATAAGAAGATAGATCAAACAAAACACCAATTCAGCTGATTATAGCAATTAATGAATTTTAACTTCATGTGTGGACAGCTAATACGGCATCTCCAGACCTGTGGTGGGAGAGGACAGTGTTAGCGACGTGGTTGATAACTATATTGATACTGACCAAAAGCTACGCCGGTAACCTTATGTCCAACTTAGCTGTCAGGTATATCCCACAACCCTACCAGTATCTCCGGGATGTGGTTGATGACTCCTCGGTGAACATGATATGGGAAACCAACACCGCCTATGTGCAATATTTTCGTGTGAGTATTTGATTCCAGTCCTTCGAATCGTAGGCATGAAAGAAAATTTGAGTATTAGGTATAATTGTTCTTCCATGAGAGAGTAATTAGAAGTTTCTTAAAGTTAGAGGTTGTTAGATATATGACTTTTTGTATAAGTAAAAAAGACTAGTGTCTGGCCATATAATGCTCGTGGGAGGAGGTTGAGACCGGTAATGAAGAAGTAAGAAGGATTTACGAAGAATCTATTGCATGGAGGAAGCTTATTATATCTGGAGGAGTCCAGTAGAAATGTACATTCGCAACAAAAAGTATCGGTGCATACTGTAGTGTGAACAATTTGAGACCAGTGACAATAGGTATTGGGAAAGGCGAGTTGTTCCAGCTGTATGTTGACAGCCCTGTAATCCTGCTGAGTAGCTACTATGGCCTGGTCAAGCGAAACAAACCGTTATAGATAAGGTCGGGAGTGATAAATAGACTTGTGAATATTGCCACATTAATTTATGCTACCAAATAAACCACTCGACCTGGTCGTGGTGCAGCGTGGAGGGCCGCTCCGAGAACTGTCGTCTGTAGCACCAGTTTCGAGGTATCGCCGAATCCATCGTGCAGCGGTGTTCCTGTGGACACCAACCCGCCGGCTAATATCTGTGATGCCGAACCCTTCGTTATGAAGGGCAATAATAGCTCCTCGTGTTCCCTCTGAGGTTTCCATGTCGTCTGGCATGTGTAGATCTCTACTGCTTCATATTGCCTCTTTTTTATACCCACGTTCACCGAGACCGAACCCTCGCTCATCATTCAGTCGACACAAAGCAACAATCCAAAATGAGGAAACAAACACACTGATTGTCAGCTATATGGCAACACCTAGTGGAGGGGAGGGGGAAGTTATGAAGATACACTTACCAACCTTCCCGACATATCACAGTGCATACGTATCGTTTCGGAAGTCGTCGATCTCACCCTGCACCGATACTTTTTGGTGCGAGTGTACGTAGACCAACAGAATTAGTATAACACCTAAAAAGTTAGCTTAATTACTGAAATCGCTAGCATAAATTTATACAACAGAATATTTCCTTTTATGAACCATGAAAACTCCTATTTCAATCATATTGTATAAACTGAGGTCAAATGAACCTTTACATACTTCAGTAAAATTGGTATTGCTTCTTCCAATATATTAGCTTTTTGGAAAGGAAACAAAAGGGGGCATCCATTAAATAATAATCCGAAAAGCCTTAGAATGAGGGACATAAACTCAATATAGAAACTCAGATTTTTGGAATGTGATATAAAATTAGGAAGTACACAAAATGTTCTCGTGAAAATGAAAAAGCAATAGTGTGAAATTTTAAGTAAGATGGACAGGTTGTGGTATGGACTATGAATTTGAACTTTGCATGACTTGGGATAAACTCCACAAGCCACCGTCAAGACAAATGAGATGTATCAATTAAAACATGTATATGGAGCAAGTAACAAGATTACTAGAATACAAAATGTTGAAACCGCGAGACTAAGGTTACGATATACAGTAAGTACCACTGGTAGTATACCCCTAAGGCAGATGTGAACAAAACTAAATACAAAGTGTACGGTCAGACATATAGCCACACACATTCCATCACAACGTTTAGACTGAAAAAATAGAACCTTTTAAGGGCAGGTTCAAGCATACTTTGTATCCAATGGTGCAACACCTTATCTCTGCTGGCAACATACCTAGTAAACTCCTATGGATTGAACTAAGCGAATAATGTACTAGAAATATTCTGTAACCTCTGCTTTGTAATCCTTTTGATGCCACCTCTAACAAAATGTGTTTAGGATGCAGAATAAACTCGCTGCTGTCCGCGGCAAAATAAAAAATATCAAGAGGTCCCCGATTGTAAACAAACCAG